AAAGAGATTGTCAGGAAACAAAATGATGAAATAAGTAATTTAAAACAATCACAAAATTCTAGTCATAAAACATGGAGTAATGTTGTAACTGCTGGTATAAAAAGTAATACCTCTGCAAATAAGTATAATTAATGTGATTTCTGTTGAAGAAGAACTTAAAAAAAAGGAGAAAAATATTATTATTTCTGGTGTTTCTGAATCAACTGGAACTGATAAAGAAAAGGAAGCAGCTGATATAGAGAAATTCAAAAAAATCTTTACTGATATAAATATTATTACCAATGAAATTGTATATATAAAAAGATTTAAACCAAAACCAAATATTGTAAATGATAAAGGAGCAATACTTGTTGAATTATCATCACCAGAACAAAGAATTCCAATATTTACTGATATAAATATTATTACCAATGAAATTGTATATATAAAAAGATTTAAACCAAAACCAAATATTGTAAATGATAAAGGAGCAATACTTGTTGAATTATCATCACCGGAACAAAGAATTCCAATACTTTCTGCAGCAAAAAAATTGAAAGGAAACATTAATTTTCCTAATGTATTTATTAATCTTGATATGACACCTGAACAAGCCAAGTTAGATTATGATTTGCGTAAAGAAAGAAATAAACTAAATGCCAATCTGATAGAAGAATCACCTTTTCGTTATGGTATCAGGAGCAACACAATTCAAAAAAATAAAAAACAATGAAATAAAAAAAAAGTCAATTATAAGTTCAAAAAATCACCAAAATTTTGTATCAAAAAATTTAAACCTTAAGAACAAAATTACCCAAAAATCGCATCTAAAGTTTTTTTACTGTAATGCAACATCTTTAAATAACAAACTAACTGAACTAGAACTTGTAAGCTTAATTTTTAATTATGATATAATGGCAATTTCGGAAACTTGGTTTAATGACTATTCTGCACCAAATATAAGCGGATACCAAATATTTCATTGTAATAGAGAAGGCAAAAGGGGAGGTGATGTCTGTATATATATGCTAAAAATGAATTCAATAGTTGTGAAACAACAAACAAAGTACTCAAATCAAATCAAACAAATCCAAAGATGGAGAACAAATATGGTATGAACTCACATATGGAACTGAAAGAATCCTTATAGGATGTATTTACAGACCACCGAGTTGCAAGGAATACCAGTGGATCATTAACTCAATTGAAGAAACACAAAAATTAAATGATTGTAGAAAAACTACCAGTACAATAATAACAGGTGATTTCAACTTTACCAATTTAGCCTAGGACCTAAATGGTGTTCCCTCTTTGCTACAAGAAGATGAACAACTCGAATGTTTTGTAAGTGCTATCCAAAACGCATTTCTTTTTCAACACGTGTATGTACCTTTCAAACAAGCGATTGTAAAACAACAAATATACTCGATCTTATTTTCACGGAAGTATATGAGAGAGTCAGCGAGTTGAAAACTGGAGAACTTTTAGGTCATATCAATAAAGCACATCTATCGTTAACATTCAACTTAAATTTAACAAACAATAATACAACAAAAAGATACTCAACCGAAAAATTTGTCTACAAAAGATGGAATTATGAAGACCTAAATTAATTTTTCAAAAATTTTGAAATTTAATTAAATTAATAGAAAAAATAAACTCAACAATAATCTTGATATTGAAACAAAAACTTTGTTGAAATATATGACAATGGATGTGAACAGTTCATAAAAAAACAAAATTTAAATTTCATGCAAAAACAGCCATATTGGTTCAACAAACAACTAATAGAGCTAATCAAAAACCAACCTAAGTGGTTTCAAACATGATCTGAAACTTAAGTACCTGGAAACAAAAAAAAAAGTAGCAAGGGAGGTGAAACGAGCATTATTTGAGTACGAAAAAAAATTAGCAGCAAACACGAAATCAAACCCAAAATTGATTCTTATATTAACAAAATACAAAGCATCAAAAAACTCTCTTGGATAATGATAGAAATTTGATTAATAATAGAAGAAAAATTGCTGAAATGTTTAAAGTTTCAGGAGTCTTTTTGCAAAGAAAATTTAAATGAGCTTCTAGAATTTCCGATACAAACTAACGTTAAATGTGACAACAATACTGATATTATTTTTACATTGGAAGTGGTTAAAAAAAAACTAAGAGAATTAAACAAACATAAATTATGTGGCGTTGACAGAGTTCATCCTCATGTACTGTCTAGCTGCTTTGATTCATTGTCTAAACCAATTCAGTTCTTATTTAAGTTATCGTTTAATAGTGGTAAAATACCGGAATTATAGAGACTAGCAAATGTTACGCCAATTCACAAGAGTGGATGTCATTCAAATGTTTCAAATTACAGACCCATTTCCATAACATCAGTGGTCTGTAGAGTAATGGAGAGCATCATAAAGGACAAAATAGTAGAACATGAATTCAACAAATAATTTAATATCAAAGGATCAACAGGACTTTGTAGGGGAAAATCATGCACAACAAACTTGCTTGAATTGTTTGATCTAATTACAAAAGCTATTGACAACGACATTCCAATTAATATAATATTTCAAGACTTCAGTAAAGCATTTGATCGAGTAACACATACACGATTTTGTTTAAGAAAATTAATAGCATACGGAATAGTAAATAAGATGCTGAACTGGATAATTAACTATTAAAAAGATCGAAAGCAGCGTGTCATAGTAGGAGACGCCACCTAGCATCACAAATCAAAAATAATCCAAAACTTAAAGCAGATAACACAAAAATTATTCCAATTATTTTTGTGTCATCTGCTAAAAACGCATAAAAACAATTCGATCAGTTTACAAAAGAGAACAAAACAACTCTGATATCCAGTACAATTTCTTCACAAGCAGGATAGTCAAACAATGCCAGTATACTGTCAAAAACAACAACTTTAAAAACATTTATGAGATTTATATAAAAAATGCATATTTACAACTACCATAAATAGTCTTTATATAGCCATTTCTCACGATGATATTGTTGTAGTTTGATAATAATAATAATAATATTACAGGCTTGGTTGAGAAGCGGGTGCGATCGCACTTGATAATTGACCACGGAAATAATATTTAGTTGCGAAAAACCGGCCAGATTTTTTAGTCGTTTTGAGAACATTTCAAAAATAAACAAAAAAGCGCAACAAGATTAACTGGATCAATGAGAGACAGTTAAAAAAAGAAAAATAGCTTTAAACGCGAAAAAACTTTAAGCAAAATAAATTTATTAAAGCAGTTATTTTTGAAACATCGGTCTTTTATAATTTTTTTTATAAAATTAAGCGACATTTTTTATATACAGTAACAACTATAAAGAAACAAATGTTCTTCAATTTATCAAAGAGTATATATAGTTTTTTTTTATATACTTATGTCTTATTTCCAGTGCTGGATTGAGGAGGTGGGGTGGGGGTAGTAGGGTTATAGCCCTGGGACTCACAATGTTAGAGGAAATAGTCAAGAGGACTATTTGGTTCTTTTTTTTAGTCATTTTTACACTGTGACACATAAAAAAGACCGTCAAAATAATGCAGCCCCTGGCCCTGAAAAGTCCAACAAGATTCAACCAATAAAACTAACGCTAGATGATTTATTTATACATAAAAAAAGTTTTTTCAATAACTGTTTTATGCTTCGCGTAGTTTAAAAGGTTTAACACATTTGAAACAATTCTTCTTAGTAAGATGAACAAATAAAATAATTAAATCATTGAGTTACTGTAGGAATTCAATTAGCTAGATAGAAATTAACTATAAAAGTTAAATTACTTTGTGAGGAGGAAGCGGAGCTGTTTTACAATACCGCTGATGATGTTTAATGAGTGGGCTTTATAGTTTTAATACATTACATACATAAAAATACATTACATACATAAAAAATGCATCCCTTATATAAAAAATTTGGAATGTACTAATAAAATCTATAATATATTTACAAAACGCTGACAAGTTAAAAAATATAAATTTAATACATTTATTACTGTATACAAATAATGTTTGCTTCAAACATTTATAGCTTTGTAGATATGGCTACAAAAATTAAAATAATAGTTCGTTTGATAGTATATTCTTAAAATAATTTATGCTAGAAATCTCAACATAAACGTAACAAAGTTCAAATAATACAGTTTTTTAAAATATTTTAACAGAATACTCAGGACATTCGGTTAGTATTTTTTGAATACTCTAGAAATTTTGGTTAATATTTTTTAAACCAATAGAATTAGTTGTTTGTAGATTTGGCAGAATTTTTGTTTTCCCTAATATTCTTTTTTTATTTTTCCACACTAAGATGTTTGAGAACATTCAAATTTATGTATGTTTCCATGTAAGTCTGTAAAACAAAATATTTTAAAATTTACAATAAAATGAAGTTTTTATTTTGCGGACAAACAAGGAAACATACATAAACTTAAATGTTCTCAAAACAACTAAAAAATCTGGCCGGCTTTTCGCAACTAAATATTATTTCCGTGGTCAGTTATCAAGTGCGATCGCACCCGCTTCCCTACTAAGCCTGATATTAGTGTTCGTTATATTATTTCTTTTATTTCTAAAAAAATGTGAAAAAATAAAACTAGTATTAATGTGTACAAGGTTTATGTGGTTAATTAAAAAAAATGCATGTTCCACATTAAACTTACATAAAACTTGAAATAATTTTATCAAAAAGATTGAACTTTACAAAATTCTTATCTCGATATAATTTGGCTTATTTTATCTTTAGGCTAATAGTTTTCACAAAAAATTGCTACAAATTTAAAATTATAAACAAAGAGAATTTAACAATAATTTTTTACAAATTTCTCATTTATTTCTTATTATTCAAATTTTTTAATATAAAATTTAAAAATATAAAAACTTGCAGCAATATAATAATAACAATATCAGAAGATAAAAAATTAAAAATTAAAAAAAGTTTTCGACAAGAAAATTGAATAAATTGTTTGAAAAAACCTGAAATCATCAAGATGATATATATTATCATGCATACCTAATTGAGTTTGGCCTTCTGTTTCAACAGTATTTAATGTGTCTTCCTCCATAGTAGTTCTTGTAATAAAATCTTTATTCCAACTTTTTTTTATAAAACTACTGCTACATTATTTTTAATAGTTCTTTAAACATGTCTAAAAATATTAAAGTAACGAAACTAATAACAACAATTAATTATACAAAAAAGGTACTACACTGATGTTTATGTTTTTGTTTATATAGTTTTCAGATTAATAAAGATTTGGTCTCATTACTAACGCTTTATAGCACAATATTGTGTAAACTTATAAAAAAATATATATATTTCACTGTTTCAGATAAAGGCAGTTTTATAGGTATCTCATGTTCATTGCCAAATACCAAACAACAGTTAGCATTTTAACTTTTTACTTATTCACTGAGTTTTATCTATAAAAAGAAACTATATATTTGGTATTTGGTAATAACAATGAAATACCTAGAAAATTGCCTTTTACTTAAAAACAGCGAAATAAATACATATTTTTAAAAAGTAAACACAAAATCGTGTTTTAAAATTGTTGCTACTACAAAAATATTATTTAAATATAATGATACATAATAAATAATAAATTTAAAGAATAGTTTCATGAGTAAATTAAACTCCACTTGTTGTTAGCATATAAATATATCAGTTGTTATATAAAAAATAAATATCAAGCAAGTATCACATTCCATATAAATAGTAGTAAATATAATATAATAGGAAGTAAATAGAAATATAATAGTAGTAAATAGACTAAAATTCATAAGAAAACTATTTTAATAAATAACAATTCTAACTCTAAAAACTGCAACACTAACTGTGATACTTGAACTTTCTTTAAACTAGATTGATAATATTGTTACTAAAAAATTATATTTTCTTCAACTTTTTTAACTATTCTTAAAGAAATAATAGTCACGAATTAAAAATAAAAGCTTCAAATAAATGCGTCATTGCGACAAGCTAAAAATAAAAATTAAAACACCTTCAATTAAAAAATAATTGCACTTTAAATCTTATGCTTTTTAACTAAACATCTTTCGTCATTATAAAACCTTTTTATTTATTAAAATTAATAAACAGATCTTGCATAAATATAAGGTATATAGCTTACCAAAAATTATTGCAACCTAATTTCATTACAATTAGCTGACATATAAGTATTTGAAGAAAAAAAAATTGACAATTAAAATTTTAATAATGAGAGTAAAGGTAATTTAAAAACGAAATTTTGCTTTTTTTGCTATGCTCTTTTCCTTCGGAAACGAGCATAGCGAAACGTGAGGTGTAAAAAACACCGCTTATTTTTATATTACGTATTATTGTTATTTATTACGTCGTTTATTTACTTTTCGCAGAGATAAACCTCGCTGAAAAAATTTATTACAATTTTAATTCTTTATTGTGTTTATAACTAAAGTTCTCAGTATTGTAAAAAATCTCATCATAATAGTGTTTTATATTATAATAACTAGTACATTTAAATTAAATATCTATTTTGAAAGGCACTGTCAAAATTAACTTACAGCATCAACCCGTCCACCAAGTACCACCGTAGAGCGTAGTACTTGCTGGTCGGGTTAACCCTTAAGATTTTAATATTAACTTTTTTTTAGTCCTTAAGATCTTTTTTTTAGTCCTTAAGATTTTAATATTAACTTTTATAAAATTTATAAAATACAGTTTTTTTTATAAAATTAATCTTATGCAACTCTTGTACCCAAGAGTTGTACAATATATGTACAACTCTTGTTTTTTTGTTTTTTTTTTGTAAAAACGTAAAACTCTTGTTTTTCTTTTTGTACAACTCTTGTACCCAAGAGTTGTACAAAAAAGAGTCGTACAAAAAAGATGTATAGTTCTTTAATACGGAATATTAACGGAGATCAAAATAGCGATTGGTCAAGATTTCGTTTCCTTGACAATGGTTTGATAAATCAAGTAAACACTTAGACAACAACATGAAAACACAAGGAATCGTTTAATAAAAAAACATTTAAAGGTTATTTATTTTTAAAATTAATTATTACAACAGGAAAACAACAAATAGTTTATATTTACATATGTGTTTTTTTTATTTTTTTATTTGCATATGCAAATTAAAAAAAGTTTATGTTTAAATTAAATCATTTTATTTTTTTTAAATCTAATAATAGATTCTAAAATCTAAAAAATAATCTAAAATCTAAAAAAAAAAATCTAAAAAATAAAGGAAAACCTCTCAGAAAAAAATTTTTTTTTTCAATTTTTTTTTTCCAGATATTTTAAAAGTAAATTTATTATAAAATCAAACGGTAAAAACCTTATTCGAAAATCCTTATTTTTTATATCAATAAATGACACTTTTGTACAACCACCTGAGTTCAAAATTGCCTAGCAACGCCTCTAGTTACAGAAAAACTGTGAATATAACACATCTAGTATAGCTTTTTTTCCGGTTTTTTTTTTTTGCAGTTTTGTTTGAAATGCTTCTTATTATCTCTAAAGCCATACTTTAAAACTACATATTTGACTGATAGTGCTAAAATTAGTCATCTTTTCAAGCTTCTACACAATCAACTCAAGCTTTTTATATTATTTTTTTTTTTTTTTTTTTTTTTTTTTTTTTATGTTGATTTTAGGTGCCCCAAGAAGTCCTTACGGTCTTATCACAGAGCGCCGCGGAAGAGCATTTAATAGGAAGTTCACGCCTCTTTCCCAACCGATGTTGCAAAACTTGCCCAGAGGTGGGGTTTGAACCACGGATTTTACGTTTCTGAGGCAAGTGTGCTACCACTGCGCCACGGCTGCTTAATTAAAGAAAACGGACAAGTCTAAAACAGAATATAAAAGTGATAGAGTAAAATTTTCTACAAAACGTCTTCGAAAACGTAAATGTACATTTTCTGGTTTAAGAAAGCAAGAAAAATATGTAAATATTGGTGTAAATAATGTTAATAGTAATGATGAAAATATGGTAGACTCTGTAAATATTGAAAGTGAAAGTGTATTTAAAAGTGCATCAAAAAAAAAAGTAAAGCAAGTAATGGTTCCAAGTGGAAACTCAAAATGTGTCAGTGGCTATAGGTTTATTGATTTAGAAATTCTTGCTTCCATTTTTGATAAACTTGGGTGTCCAGAATGTTTGCGACCATCGCAGTTGTCGTTAAGCGAAAATAAAAAGTCTTGCAAAGGATATGCATCAAATTTATCATTAAATTGTGTTTGTGGTTTCAAGTTAGACTTTGACACATCAAAAAATGTAGCAGGGTTTGATATTAACAAAAGATTAGTGTATACCATGAGAACACTTGGTCAAGGCCAAGCTGGTCTACATCGGTTTGCCACTCTTATGAATATCCCAAAAGGATTATGCAATAAAAGCTATAATTATTATAGCTTTTATTGCATAATCCTTTTAAGATATTCATAAGAGTGGCAGTTATTGTTCAAAAATTGGCAACTGCAGCACAAACTGTTGCTGTTGAAACTATTAATGAAGCTGTACAAGAACTCAGAGAATGCAAATCTCTTAATGAGATCTTAGATATTGGAGTTTCTGTTGATGGAACATGGCAAAAAAGAGGATTTAATTCACACAATGGGGTGACGGCAGCATTATCAATTAAAAATGGGAAGGTTTTAAAAATGGGAAAAAAAGCAAGTCAAGGGTTTAAATGGTAAAAGCGGTTTAACAAACGCTACAATTGATCGGTTGCAAAATTATTTTGGTATTTGCATTAGGCAAAATTGTGGCAACCTTGAAGGTATGAGATCTTCAGCTTTGGCTAGCTTATTTTATGTAGCATCTTCAAGCAAAAATAATTGGCATTACCCGCATTGTCCCACAGGAAAAGATAGTTGGTGTAAATACAATCGAGATAAAGCTAATGAAACCAAAGAGTATAAACCCGGACCAGGTCTTCCTATTGAAATAGTACACAAGTTAAAGCCCATTTATGTAGACCTAACATCAGATGCTTATTTAAATTGTTTGCTTCATGGAAGAACACAGAATCAAAATGAAAGTTTTAATGCAATGATATGTCAAAGTATGTTTCGCTTACGCAATTAAAATTTGGACTCTATGATGCTATTGGTGCCTTTAATATAGGATTAAAGTCTAGTATACTTATATTTGAAAGACTTAATATGATACCAGGACAACATACCATTTCTGGATGCAATTACCTGAACCAGAAAAGAGTTATGATGTCAGAGTATAAAAATCAAGACACCATCAAAAAAAAAAAGGAAAATTTTAAGAAGCCGCAAGCTTAAAAAATTAAAAAAATCTTAAAAAGCTTAAAAAAATTAAAAAGCTTAAAAAAATTTGACAAAGTTGAACAGAAAGAAGGGAAATTGTATGGGGCTGGTGTTCATGATTAAAAAATACAATCAGTATGCTCTTTTTATATTATATTTTTTGTATCTTTGTTATTATATAATATTTTTCATCACAATTTCAACTTATTCGGCATTTTTCTCAGAACGCGTGTTTTTAATCTCCCGGCAGAAGTATCTTGAGAACCGCTTGACCGATTTTAATGAAATTTTCAAGGATTATTTCTCTGATAAAGATGTATGCAATGAGCAGACAACTTTTTAAAAAATTTTTTTAAACTAAAGAAATTAAAAAAAACATTTTTGTGCTTTAAATTTTTGTCAAAATTAAACAGGCCTACTACCTGACAGAAAAGTTATTTTCAAAAACTGTCTGCTTATTGCATAGATCTATCTTTTAACTATAAGTTAGAAAAAAATGAGCTCAAAGTATCATTCTAATTAACTGCAATCTTTGCCAGGGTGAAGAGACTAATTTGACATTTTCCCTTAGTAACCGCGTTGCCATGGCAACAGAGTGCCATTTTTTATGATAGATCTTAACGTTTAGTCTACTTTTATTTGGAACATGTAATAACTTTATTAATGCTTTACTTTAGAAAATAATTTTTTGAGGGGTTTTCTCCCATAAAACCAGAGTTTTTTTATATTATTTTTGCAAATGGTGGTTATTCTTATAATAAATATAGCAACTGTCAATAACTGTAAAACAACCGAAAATTCGGTCAAATAACAACCATAACTATCACTTGAGCTTAGTAAAATCGCAAGTGTCGAAATTCTCAATTATTAGCGAAGGCATTACGGAATCAATTAAAAAA